TAAGGGTGTGCGAGATGGACAACCATACAGGACCCATGTCATGGAAGGGGCTCTATTTTACATATGATTCAGTTTATTTTTTAGAAATCAACAATACAGTAATTAAAAAAAAAAAAAGACAAAAGCCTATGTTTTTTTTTTCAATTCCAATAACTCATCCTATAACTAAAAATTACAACTCACGTTTTTTAAAATATAGATTAGAGCATTATATCCAACACTATTGTAGTGGTGGCCAGGTGGGGTTTGGAATTCAAATTACTTACATGTGGTTTACAATGGCTAATGACATAATGTTCCCATCAATTCTTTTTTAGAATTTTGTTTCCATCACAAAGTTTCACTATATTGGGATCATAGGATGCCGGCAATATGAAAAGGCTTCCTATATATATTATAAGAATGCCATCTTTATAGGTCTACTCGCGATGTCATTATTGTTATGTATCGGTATTTAGCATATAATCGAGATTTGATTTTATATCTTATAATATATTTTCATGTTTTTACATTTTATACTACCATAAAATAAACTAATTCTAATCTTAATTCATATGATTTTGCTCCTTAAAAAATCTATCTTATGCTATGATAGCTTGTATTATTTTTTATAACTTTTATCCTTAACTTATCATAATCATAAAATAACTTTAATTCCTATAAACATAAAGTGGTGAAAATATGTGAAAGCTAAAAGCTTCCCACCAAAACTGATACTTAAAAAAAACAAAAACAAAAAAAAAATACCAATTACGAAAATTGAAGGGTTTATATGTCAATGATTAATAAAAAACATTTTTTTAGTCAACTTAATCGGATCAGCGGACCAACAATTTGTCATTTAAAATATTGTGTCGTTTTAACCGATTCAACAAATGTATCAATATCATAACCGTTGAATCCGACACACATAACGAGTTATTAAAAAAAATTATATTTTTGAAATTGTCGGTTAAATTAATATTTGTTTGTTAATGTTCACTTGTCATCTAGAAAACAGTTCTTTTACGGTTTCCTTTGACAAAGAGAACTGATTTTTCTATATAAACTTTTTATCCATCCACTGAAAAAATAATGAATGGACAATTATACCTTCACTTCATTTAAACCTTATTTCATTTAAAATAAGTCATTGACACAAATTTAGGGTATATTTGTCCACTCTTTTTCTGTGGCTGTTTTAAAATTTTCAATGAATTGGAACCCTAATCTATATTTACCAATATATTTTTTTAGAATTTTTTAAAGCTTCAAATTTAGGGTGAAATGTTGTTTAAAATACAATAATAATAATAATAGCAATTTAGATTCAGGCTATCTAGAAGTGCTTAGTTCTCAAGCGAAAGGTGGTGATCTACCCATAATGTTTTTGATTCACCCATTTTATAAATTTAAAAATATGCATTTACATAATGCTCGGTACAACAGTTTTGATAAAGGAGTTACATGATGGATCATTTGGGAAGGACAAAGAGTCACATGATGAATCATTTGGTAAGGGTAGTGGCTCCCTATAAGGGAGCTACCAAGTTATAATATTTGACATGGACGTCTTTGAGGGTGTGTGAGGTGGACAACCGTACAGGGCCAATGTCATGGAAGGGGCCCTATTTTACATATGATTCAGTTTATTGTCTAGAAATAAGCAATCCAGTCATTCAAAAAAAAAAAAAAAAAAAAAAACAAAAGTCCATGTTTTTTTTCAATTCCAATAACTCATCCTACAACTAAAATTAAAAATTGCATTTGGACTTAAAATTGGGCTTAAAATTAAAAATTGCATTTGGACTAATGTAAATTTACAACAAACAAGAGCTTACGTTTTGTTCCAATTCCAATCTTCCAAATTTGAAGCAACTGCAAAGCTTAAACGACGTTTCTTGATTCTTGTTTTCTTATTCCATCGGACTTTACCTCTCATTTTTATTGCACTCCAGCTCTAGTTTTTTTTATTATCAATTGAAATCAAACAAGTATTTCATTATTCATAATTTCTAAATCTTACATCCTCTCATTTTTATATTCCGATTATTGTCGTTGATTAGCGAATATAACACACTAACACACATATTCTGAATGACAGGATTTCTAACTTCACCTTAGTGCATTACGAAATATGAGATCTGTTTTGAGTGATTTCTCTAATTACTAGTTCCCCTTAATTTCTGTAATTATGTTCTTGTTTGTAGCATCTGCGTAGTTGATTAGAACAACATTTATGACTTTCATATTGTTGTTAATGTAATATCATATATAATTTTCAGAAATTGTGCCTCCTAAGCATCTATTGGATAGTGAAAAACATAAAAAGAGAAAGAGAATGAGAGAATGAAGAATTAAGGTCTTAGAGTAGTGCTCTTGATAAGTTTCTCCAAAAAAAACCTCAAGTTTCTTCTTAAAATCAAAACAGTGGTGATATTAACGTTGATATTGCAGGTGTTGACAGAGATTAAAACTGAAGTTCTTAAAGCCCTACTTGCAGTACACAAAGTCACAAGAAATACTTAATGGATTGGCAATGATAGTTACTGAAAATGACATATTGAAGAATATTGATTATGAAGAGTTGGGAAACAATTTTGCTTTTATATATATATATATATATATATATATATATATATATATATATATATATATATATATATATATATATATATATATAGGAGTAGGATCAAATGAGAACACCTAAAAGGTTGAGAACGCGAGAACGGATCTGGACCATCAAAATATTCAGATCTGAGGCTATTATCAAACGGGTCATTTACGTAAATTCTAAAACCATAGGTATTAAAGTGTAACTTGTAAAAGGTCACAAGGCTATAATGGTAATTGTAATTTTAACTTGTTCCTATAATTTCTCAATCACATATCATATTGCTGTTCAAATTTATTGTCCCCCACTTCATTTCTTTCTCTCTCTCTATACCTAGGTTTTAATCAATTCCTCCCTCAGCCTCCCTCCATCGCACATCGTTTGAATCAATCCTAATCGGAGCATCGCAAGTCTCCACCTCGATGCGTTTTTGGTTTAATTTTTCCTCCATTGCACCATCACTACCCATCTACGCAGCCTACATCACAGGTCGATGAAAGACGTAGGAAGGAAGTGAAGGCAGTCGGCGACGTTTGTGGTCGACTGTCGTGATGGCGAGGGGAGCGTCTCCGTGGTCGACGAGGCTGAAGAGGAGGAAAGGAGGAGGCAGCGAGGGGTGGGTTGTTGGTCTCGGTGGATCGAAGAGAAGAAGAAAAGAGAATGGAAGCAGCGGGATGTGGGGTCTGCCATTGGTTTCCGGTGACAAAGCCCCGATATTGGGTTGTTTGGTGATCGAGAAGGGCAGCAACAATTCAAAAATAGGTAAGGGTTCCTTTTTTTTTGTTCTTGTTTGATTTGGCAGAACTCGATAGGCTCAAGTGGGTCTTTGAAGGCTCAAGTGGCAGCCCTTACAATTGATGGAAGAGATAGCCACACAAAGTTGTAATCAGATTCAAGGTAAAAGGTTGTGCACATAAGCTGTTTGATGATATGCGTGAGAGGGGTATTCATTTATGAATAGCAGGGTATTCATTTGTTAATAACAATGTATTCATTTGTAAATAGCAGTGTAATCATGTGTGAATGAGTGTATTTTATTTATGATTAGAGGTATTGTTTTATTCATTTGTGAATACCAGGGTATTCATTTGTTAATAACAATGTATTCATTTGTAAATAGCAATGTAATCATGTGTGAATAAGTGTATTTATTTATGATTAAATGTATTCTTTTATGAAGAAATGATAATTTTTACACCCCTTTTATTTTCAGTTGATTAAAAGAAAGGAAGTGGATTACTTGTAAATTGATATGTATTCATTTGTGATTGCAGTAGTATTAGTTTTTTTGAAAAAAAAAATTGTTTATGAATACAAATGTATTTATTTGGGGTTGGATTTCTATTAATTTTTTTGAAAAAAAACGTGGAATATGAGAAAAATTAAATTAAATTTTTTTAGTTTTAATTTTTTTTTGATAAAAATGTTTTTTATATTTCATTAATAAGAAAAATAAAAAATCAAATATCTCCTTCTTTTTTGGTAACTGATCCTAAATTTAAGGGAATTTGATTGATTTTATTTTATTTTAATTAATTAAATATGCAATTACTTATATGCCCTTATATATTGATTGATCCAGAACTGTTCTCGCGTTCTCAACCTAAAAAGGTGTTCTCATTTGATCATATCTCTCTCTCTCTCTCTCTCTCTCTCTCTCTCTCTCTCTCTCTCTATATATATATATATATATATATATTATATTATATATATTATATAATTATATATATATATATATATATATATATATATATATATATATATAAGGGTCATTTTTATTAGGGTCCTCAGGACCCTTGTGATCTTTGAGCTTCCATTAGGAATATATTTATAGGGTAATGCAATGTCTTTTTTAATACAAGGTAAGACGTTGCGTGTCTTCATTAAAATGACTTTTTGGTTTTATCCTGTGGTGTTTCAAACCCACAAAATGTAAGAAAATTAGAGGCAGCACCACACAAGATATTGCGGAAACTTCTGTACTTGGACAACGAATTTGTACCCAAAAAAAGGAAAAAAAAATTTCTAAAAACTGCAAAAATTAAAAAAATAAATAAATAAATAAAAACAAAGATGTGAAAAAAGTTGTAGAAAAGTAATTTTGTAAAAAAAAGAAGTATTTATTGATCTAAAGTTACTAAAAAATTAAAAAAAATTTGTTCATGCGATGTAAACTGAGTTATATAATAGAATAAGATAAGATGTCTCATGATGCATGCGATATATGGGACAAACCATACCACAGTTTCTTTTTGGATCTTGTCCGATCTTTTTTTTATTTTTTTTCTTCTTTTACCATTTTGCAGGATATAATCATTTAATAAACTATTTGAAAAATTAAGTTTATTGTTTTAAAGATCTATAATCTGATCATATTCATATGATAAATTAAGCGAATGAAAAGTCTATCCAATAATGAATCATATGATCAAAATCCATCCGATTGTGTGTATTTAACAAATCAACTTTACAATACAAACAAAATCATACAAAACCTGTCCAAGTATTGACAAACCCTAAGCAGCAGATTTAGGAATTTTGTATTGTTTCTTTAGGAATTGAGAAGCCTCTGAGTCACCCCTGTGACACAATATTCTCAATAGTGTTTTTGTGTCAGCACCCAGCTTGCTTCTGTCTGTAGCACTTGCAGACTTTATGTCATCAATCAGCTCCCGTGTCTGCAGCAGGAGGGGTAAATGCGTAATTATACAACATTTCACATTTTCGGTAATTCTATACAAATAGAATATTGTAGAAGAACTAACCTCATAGCCCTGCAGCTTTATCACCTGTCGAACACGTGCTACTTGGTTTTCAACAACTCCACGAGGAAGCCCGTCTCCACCAGATATAAAAAATTCCTAAGCATAAATCAACCAAAACAAATGTCAGCTTTTTGGCATTGGTTTTTATTTATTTATTTATTTATTTTATCGATTTAAACACCCAACTATTATAAATTATAGTGATCATAAAAAAAATTATAGTTCAGTGGTATACCTTTAGAACCTCTAAATCTTCTTCCAAGAATTTAGCATCAGAAGGCATGAACAATCGCGATGGACCTCCATCTAATAGCACTCTAAATAGACCATCCTGCAAAAAAAACAACAAAATTTTATAAATAAATAAGGGACCATGAAACATCTGAAAAAATAGAAATGAGACACACCAGTGATGCCTGAAGAAGACTTGTTACAATTCGATCTCTTAGTGGCTCCACAATGATATCACATAGTTGATTTAGTTCCTGTAAACACATTAAACATTGATTATTATATATCAATAATGATAATAATAATAAAAAGAGAAAGAAACTGTGTTTATTAGACAATAGACATACCACATCAAGTGGCTCAATGAGTGGTTGTTTCCAACCTGGACTCTGAAACACTAGGTCTATATAGGTTTTCAATGAAGGGTTCCCTTAGATCCCAGAAAATTATCTTAGTTCCTGTAAATGTTAAAAATTATCATGGAAAAAATTTAACTCAGATCTTGAATATAATTAATACTTGACCATGATATGATGAATTCTCACCTGTGAACTCACAAATCCGGTCAATGGCTGCATTGATATCTTTCCTACTTCCATCAAAGCTTTCTTTTCTCAAGTTGTCATCTGTAGACCTCTCTGTGAAATACATCCTTAGATATGATTATGAATATTTCATTTTTAGATCGTATAAACACAATAATGATTTTTTAAGTAAAATAAAGTTCACTCTAGAATACACGTACTATTGGATTTTCCTTGCTTCTGCTTCCTTATCCAGCGTTCCCAAATGCTATCTTCCAGCTTATTAAGATGACTAATGCCATACTGTTGTAGAAAATGATAAAAGATTCAGTCAGCTTCTTAAGTCCTAACTTTTTATAAATCTCAAATATTTATATTTTTTTAACATCATTTATGGAGACAACACTTAATGGGGGGAAAGGAAACAGGAACTGACATAAAGGGTGTTTAACTGCACACATAGTGTTGATGTAGTCATAACATTGATGTCTCTAGACTTTCTCATATCAGGCAATGGCATCCTTGAAGTTGAATCATTCAACTCTTTCTTCACAAAAGCTTTGAATCCACTTTCACTCCTGTATCTTGTCAGAATTGGCACAGGAGGAACTATGTCTTCCTTGTTAGCTGCATTGCACGTTCATTCAAATTCACTATTATAAAAGGAAGAATCTTTTCCAGACTTAAATGTGCATAATTGCATACCCAAGTTGTCAACAACATGTTTTGAATATACTTGAAGTGCATTATCAATGCCTCGGAACAAGCTGTTCATTTCTCCAGATCTCATAGGAATCTTTAGAGCGAAAAATTGATCAACAGTCTGAAAGAACATAAAAGAAAAAAAAAAGTATGTTATTCATGTATTATAGTGAGTGGAAATAGTAATGGAAATGGATGCTTAAGACTAGATATAATAAAGAGCAAAAGAAATAAGAACCTCTTCTATAATGCGATAAACTTCAACAATTGAACTCCCATGTCGTTGCTGCATCGAAACTGGTTCCCATTTCTGAAATATTAAAATAAAAAACATAATTAACCAAGAAAAAAAAAACAGAAAATCATTAGTGGCAAGAAAACCAATTCAATTAGTTACCTCCTGTTGAATAGCTCGCTCAACCCAACCCAAAACTCTGCTTAGTTGTGAATTGACCCAACGCAACACCAGTGTTCCAGATATTGATTCAATCTGGTATGATCATTTAAAAAATAGATAAAAAGTAAACAAAAAAAATCTTCCAAACAGATGATCATGATGTGAGCATGTTACAAAGTCTAATCATAATAATAATCCTGACACACACACACACACATGTATAGAATATATGATACAAATATTTATATCATTGTAACCTCAAACTATTAATTTTGACACAAAACACATGCATACATGCAAGACATAGCAATGCACTTTCTAATTATTATAGCATTGTACTTTGTTTTTTTATGCGTTGAAATTATTTGTTAATAGGGTATTGTACTTTGAAAAATTTATCTGATTATAGCAAATGGGTAACCATTTTAAAAAGGTAGTAAGAAATAATCTGAAAGTAGAATGCTATAAAGAACACCATACCTTGTAAGGAGCAAGTTTTTTCAAGGAGACATCTGTTTGTCCCTCTCCACATGAAGAAGTGATAAGGTCCATAACATATTCCTCAAAACCATCAGCAGCAGGAAACACCAACACAACATCTTCTGTAAGTTGCTCAACACTACTAATGTAGGGCTTCTGCAGATTTATTAACACACACAAATAAAGTTTTATATTTTCATATTAAGCAGTTTTCAGCAGCAATGGCTGACATGAGAGAAGCTAATGCTATTCATAATTCATATTCATTCATACCAATTTGCTTCCATAGAGCTTGTGAAGGAGAGATGCTGAAACAACAACTGCTTGCGGATGCCATTGGGATAATATTGGCATGAATACGGTTGCATCTTTTTTCAAAAGCTTTCTTGTTTCTTCTCCTAATAGTGCTAGTGGATGTTCGTCTGTTGCATTGGACATAGTCTCAACATCCTGCAATATCTGTGAAAAAAGTAGAAGAAATCAAGAATATGGATGCATACTTTATTATTTTTGGTCTCTAACATATTGAGTCAACTGAAAGTAAGTGAACCACTTACCCTTACAAATGCACTTTTGATGGATGATGATACGTAGGACTCTATCTTATCTCCATCTGTAACAGCTTCATGCTGCATTGCCACCAAAACAAATGATAGTTCCAGTTTATTTTAGATTATGTAATTAATCAAGTTATTCAAAAGAAAAACTTTCAGATGAATGGGTTTTACACACCGATCCATGTTCCTCTTGAAGAAGTCGCTTTGCTAGCATTGAAATTGATACCACATGTTCCATCATTGCCAATGCCTAAACAGAATGGAATAAAAGCAATGTAAGAAAAACAAAAGGCTAACAAAACAGAAAGGATTGCACATGATTAGATTATGAACCTCAGGAAAGTGCAAATGGTAATCTGTAAGTTGCTTATCAGCCCACTTTTGAATAGGTATTATAAAGGACTGTATAAAGGATAGCTCTTGGGAGCCTTCTTCACTTTCATATTTGCAAAACAAGGTTTTCAAATGCATTCTCTCTTGTGGGCCACGCTCTTCTTTCAAGGGTACTTTATGTAATTGCTCAATGGCATGTCGAAGAAGTGCATGTTCTCTAGTCATAACAAACTGCACAAAAGAAAAAAAGATAAAATTATAGCTCTTAAAATTACTATAATAAACTAATTTAGGATCTGTTATTACCTGGCGGAATAGCACCCATGCATAACAGGTGTGATGAATAGTCTCTGTTATTCCCAAGATACGCCACGTTGACTTTAGAAGCTCAAGTATTTCTTCCACTTCCTGCATACATTCATAAAATATAGTTGTTTGTTATGCATCATCATCATACATATGCTACTTCCATTTCTTTTCTTAAGGCATTGCACTTTGTTAAATCTACCCAATTATGTTGCCACTTCTTGCATTTAACTCCACTAGTAAATACAAGATTAGAAGTTTAATGTTAATCATGCTACCATGGTTTGTAAGGGTGCAGGTGGAGGGAGGGAATTTAATCAATTTATAACAAAATCATACTTAACCCTGGATAGAAATTTACATACCTCAGTTAGTTTCCCCTCATCTAGAACATCAAAAATGCTGGAAAGAAGTTTCTCATATAATCTGACATTCAAATGATACCCATCTGCCCAATGACATACTTCACCAGTTAAGTCACCACGAGCTGGCCTCTCTGCAAGTGCAATGGCAATCTCCCTCAGAGATCTCAAACATTCTATGCGTTGAAGTTCACCCACAGAAGGTGCAAATGACTGAAATAAGACAAATTTAAAAAATGATAAAGTAAGAGCAATAGAGCATAGAATAACAGCATATGTAAAAACTAAAAAGATCTCATTTTAAACCATGTGTACATCCCAACAACTAACCTCAGATTCTTCAATTCTTGCCAATAGAATCCTCATTTCACTTGCTTTGCGACCAGATTCTCCAAATCCCACAACTGGGTGATTCACAAGTCCTTCCTCCAACATATTCAACTGAACTAACACAACATTGGATCAAACATCTTACATCAATATTAGTTAAAGTTGGAAAATTACTCATACATGCCCATGAATAATACGATAAGGCTACGAAACAAAACAGAGAGAGAAGGGACTGACTTGTCTCTTTTGCCATCTTATGAAAGCTTTTTTGTCAGAAAATTCGGTTCGAGAAACACAGGATAATAACTCGAGAGGAATCAAAAGAGCATCCATTCTTTTCCCCACTTTTCCAGCCATTGCATTGAGTAGCCCTTGTCTTGTTCTAATGTCCATCGCCTCAGAAATCTGTGTTTACAACAATCCTTATTATTATCAGGCACAAATTTGTGGGGTCCACAGTCTACTGATTAATAACATGAAATAAGGAGGTAGCATATGCCTAATATAACTAATAGTAATATCTGTAATAGAACTCCTATTTAGTAAGAGCAAACCTAAACTAGGTATGGTTTCTAACAGTCCCCATGAATCATGTCCAACATGCAAACAAACCATATATCATACAAGCAAAATAGACTACTATATTTAGTTTGAGATCAACAATACTTGAAAGAGAAATTATGGATTTCTTTGAGATCAACAATACCAAGATTGACATCTAAAATCATGACACAGTGCATATATAAAACATAAAAAAATATAGTCTGTACCTCCATCTGGACACGCATTGTCTCCAGTAGGCCAGTCAAACCAGTCGATTGTTGGGATTGATTTGTAACTTGTTCACTCTTACTCCTTCCAAGCTTCTTCAACAATCGGGATTTCTTTTCTTTCTTCTTCTCCTTTGATGGCACTATAAGTCCCCTGCTTAAACAATCATTACAAAATAGTCAAAAGGTAGTTTGGCAGATCTGTAGTTCTGACAAAATCAATCACAGCAAAATGAGAACTCAAAAGAAATGCTAAAACTATGTGTGTGTGTACAAAATAAAGTTCATGCAAAGACAGATAAGAAAGAAAAGATACCCTGAAGCTCCTGCAGCAGCCAGAAGGATTTCATAGGCAGATTCACGAAGATCATCATCAGTTATACCTGAAGAAATGACCAAACACATAACTTTACACACCAATTTCAGAAAATGATACAATATTTTCATAAAACGTTCCATCATTTCTGTTTACCTGTTGCAAATGCAGGCAAACCCACAATAAGATCAGCAGTATCATTCATTGTTCTCCTTGAATACCTGCGACTATTCAGTTCCTCCAAATCATCATCATCCTCAAAATCATCAATGTCATCAACAGTTAAATTCTGAGCTGGGCCCGAGTTAAAAGATTTTGAGTTGGATATAACTGGTTCATCCTCTTCTGTTGCCTCAAAGGGCAGTGATGTTATGTCTGACATAATGGGTGATGGGGCCACAAAAGGAACAGCTGGTGGAGCCCTCCTTGGAGGTGAACCTGATAATTCAGGATTGGTAGCCAAAAAAAACTCACCTTCAGACCCTGCATTCTTCATTACACAGAAAAAAAAGCAAATAAATAAATAATAAACCAAAAAGGAAGGTAATGCAATGTTCAATGATTCCTAGTAACAAGTGCACAGGCAATATATCTACTTCCATCCCATCAAATCTGCAGCAACTACCAGTATGGGATGTCCTTTATTGATAACAATCTTTGTTCTTCAGAAGTTCTATAAGCTAAATTGGCATATTTCTCTATAACACTACAAAAGCATGTGTAATATAGATAATGGTCCACATATGTATTTCGATTAAAAAATTAGGAGGTATATGGAAACAATTTTTCAGCTTGATTCATGATGTATATCCATCAAAAGATTATGTATTAATATGCATGTGGGAGCAATTGTTATTTCTAACAAGGGCGCTTATGACTTATGAGTAATTTCAGTTACACACTTGATAATTACAGTTCCCGTCTGTGTCTATTCACCAAAAAAGATATGCATTATTATATTTAATGATATATAGACATTATTTATTGGGTTATGGATAACCACTCTTCCATGAAAAATCCTCCCAACACTACCACTTACATCACATATTACTGTACTAAAACATCTTGAAAGTCTTCCTTTTGGAAAACTCTCCTTGAAAGGAGTGTAATGGTAGTGGATTTCATCTGTAAAAAAAGCAGATAAGTGGGACAAGAGAGCATCCATTTGAATATTTATATTTCTTGATCCACCATCGTTTTTCTATTTATTTTAGCTGGCAACTTAATCCTTAAAAGTTACAACATAGAATGTTCATATCAAGTTTGATGTTACAAAATAGTTTGTTTAAGGCTCATAGACACATGCCACCTATTTTCTTTTGAAAATGAAGGATATTCAACTTTCATCTTACCATATGAGGGTATCCAGTACTATCATGGTAATCTCTAATGGCTTCTGAGAGCTCAAGCATGTCCCCTGCAAAATAGTTCAAGAAACAGAAACTAATGATTCCAATTTTAGGTGAAATGAAACAAAATATAGAAGCAAAAACTGAGTTCCCCGTTTACTTCAAAGAGCTGCATCTTGTTTTCTTGTCAGACTTGGTACTTTCCGATTTCCATACCCAAAATCATGGTGAAACTTGCTGCAAACTAATATCTTACCCTTAGTGCTTACTATAAAGTTTAACATAATCGCAATTTTCTTAAAAGACTAAAACCCTGAACAAAATAAAACCGCCCAAAAGTAACCTTTTGACATTCAAATTCAAAATGCAGCTCTTATTTTGGAATTTGAGTAGGAAGTACAACTAATTAAATTAATCAATTACAAAAGCTACAAACCTTTTTTCACGGAATTCAGAACAAAATCAACACTGACTTGATCTAGATCCACATCATCCAACGAAACCGCACCAGGTGGCATCACAACTTTCTTAATCAAAGAACCAGATAGTAAGTAATTAAGAAGTATCCGCCTATCTCGCCTATACCTCTGTAAAAGCTCCACTTCATTTTCCCTGTCAGAAACACACATACATGATACATATATCAATTCTGGTAAGTTCTAGGAAAATCATTAAACTTAATGAGCATTTTACACATACTCTTCCATCGCCGATTGGTCGCTTCAAATTTCAATTACTACCAGCTAATTCGGATTGAGACGAAGGAAGAAGTTGAATTTGATGAAAAGATATCTGTTGCAGGTCAAACTTCAACGCGAGAAGTATGAATCGAAATGCAGGGAGACTTCTTCCAAGTTCCAACTCCTTGGATCTCTGTTTCTCTCGATAAACTTGTCAAAAGCGAAGGTTTTGTGTGTGTGTGTGTGTGTGTGTGAGAGAGAGAGAGAGAGAGAGAGAGATATGAAACAATCACATATAGATCAAGTCACCGCCGTATCTATGATCTTTATTCAACAACTATTCTCCCTTTATGGTAAAAATAAAATAAAACGTTTTATTTGAACAAAATATAATACTTTCACAAATGTTCAATGGATTTTTTTTATCTTTCTAATCCATTAAATTCTAATTTAATAGACTATTTTATCCGTGTCTTGTTTTGTAATTAGTTTCCATTTAAGAGGCTGTTTGGTATGTTTTATATTGGGCAAGGTAAAATGTTGAGTCTGACCCAGTCAGATTCGGTCTAGACATAACCTATGATGATTCAATCAGATCTTGACTCAATCAAATCTGAGGTTGGGTATGACTCAGATCAGATTCAGACTGTTTGGTACCATAATTAAAAGTCTTTGACTCAATTAGATATTGACTTAATCAAATTTTATTCAGCCTTAAACTATCAAACAACCCCTCTTATATACTTTACAAATATTCAAATATTATACAAAGATCAAATATTACATCAACTGAAAACAAAATTACAGATTATATACGAAAAGATAATGAGTCTGTTGTTCAATGATGTGTTATAATGGTATGTTTCAGATGAAGAAAATTTATGATTAATGCATAACAATGATGTTTGATTCTTTAACATGTGTGCATTGAGAATCTACCAGGAAATCTAACATCAAATCCAAAGGAATTGACAACTACATAAAAGTGGACTATATAATTTAATATAGCTTTTTTTTAACGACAAATACAATATATTCCTAAACTATTCCTAAATCCACCTATGTCTCATACGAGACTTGAACCCTCAACCTCAAGGAGGAATGGCAACACCTGATACCGCTAGGCTAGAAGCCCTTGAAAATGTTTTTTTACAAGAAAAAAAAATCGATCGTCAAGTGTCTTAATTTTATGGAGCTCAGACTGTAATACATCAATTAAATAATGTCAACTTGTGTTTTTATTGAATTGTTATGTGAATTTGTAGTGGAACTTTCTTCATCAGATTTATTACAAGGTAGTTTATTTGTTTAAAAATTTGTATCTGTCTGTCTTCTTTTATAATAAGATTATGGCAACAAGGTTTTATATTTTCAAATACTTTATAAATCGATTCAAAACAAAATGTAGTCAGTCAAAAAGTGAAGCTCCCAAATCCATAATATGTAGAATGATAATATGTAAACGCATCATACAACAAATAATATGCGATAAAATCAATCAATTACAATAATTTTGCCACTTTTCACATATATATGTATATATTCTCAAGATCATGTTGAGATAATTGCATATGACTAAGTGAGGTCATCTTCATCAAGGGCCTCTCCATGCTCCACTGAGTTGATTTCCATTGCAATCACCTCCCCAGTAGGAAGCTTCCTTGCAAGTCTGATAATCTGCAGCATTGAAAACAAATAGCAACATATTTTCATTTATTTGTGTAATATATATAGCATCCCACTCTCATTTCTTCCAATCACAACATTCTATTTTTCTTACTATATAGCAGTGAAAATTGCTTTGTATTTAGGAAGAAATGGAAATAGGATGCTACAACAATCAAATGAATAAAAGTACGTTGCTATAGTTGAGATTTGAGAAGGTTTAGGGTTTTACCACATGATCCAGGTTGGATACAGTACTTGATTTTGCTACACGTTGGATTTCTTCAATATCAGCTTCTCTGTATGCAGAAAGAAGTTTACTAGCACAATGACTCTGATCACTGCTTAAAAAAGTATCAATCCTGCAAAACACAACCCACAATATACACATATACTTAATATTATTATTTATTATAATTGTAAATTCTATATTCATAGTATAAAGAAAACTTACTGACAACAATCATTATAGCACTTCTCTGCTTCCTTGAAGTCATGGGCATAAAGGTATACGATAATTGCACTTAGATAAGCCTACACCAAAAAATAAAAATTATTAATTATTGCTAGCAAAATAGAATATAGCCTAAAAATTTTGATATTTAAAAAGGGAAAAAAATTGCACCTTGCATTGGCTATGAAGAGCATTGCATTTATTAGCTGCTACTGCCCATCTCAGAAGAAACGTTGCAGCATCTGTATACCTTCAAATGAAGCAACAAAAATAAGCCAATAAGAATGTCACATTAGTGTTTGGTATGATGGAATTGGAGACGGAATGGAATGGCTGATTCCATTGGAATGAAACTCCTTACTTTTCAAGCTTTATGTAAAGACTTGTGATAGCACGATATATATCAAACACCATATTTTCCTTGCCATCTTCCTCAAGTAGCAAACAAGCATCAGTATACATTGTAATGGCCACTTCAGGCTTACCATCTTCCAAAGCACTGTTCGATAAATTATATATTTATATTCATACAATGTATAAAAATAAATTCAAATTTAATATAAAATGTTAATAGGGAAATTGAGATGCATACCGAGCACCTTTTGCAAGTGCATCAGATGCAGGTTGTGACCTCCCACATTCATTATATAACTCAGAAGCCCTTCTGTAAAAATCAGCAACTTCATTCCATATGCTTAATTCAACTGCTAAAGCAGCAGCAGATTCCATATGTTTTGCAGCATCCCATGGTGTAACCTTTTGTTAAGTCTAAACAATTGTAATAAAACACAAATGATAAAACACGAATGAAATTTAAATAGAAATGAATTAGTTGAAGTGTTGAAGGATATGAAGCGAGCATTTCTTGTCCTTTTGAAGCTTTCTCAAATGCTACTTTTGCTTTCTCGTGTTTTTTGGCAAACCTATATGCAGTAGCTTCAAGGAATAAAGTATAAATATTATAAACTTGTGGTTGATTTTATATGTAACATAAGTTGCTTGAATTTGTAAAGAGAAAATATTAATCTTAAAAACTTTTTACCTGCTTGTTCGTAATATTGAGTTGCATTCCTCCAGTCAGCACTCCACCGTGTTAAAGTAAGTTTTGTTCTATTGGAGTATAAGAGAAAGAAATGAATCCAACTATCCAAGCAATTACAAAAGAGCAAGATAATATAATTAAGGAACACCTTTTCTCATGTAATCTTCAATATAAAATAAACAAAAACAGAAAACGATCACATTAATCCAAAAGGAGTAATAGTGGTATATTGAAATGGATGCTTGCTAATTTAAATGTTTATTAATTCAAACAAACGTGTATTGCACCATTGCTTGTTTTTACTTATTTTAATCTTATGCATAAAAACTATACAACATTTTTATGATTTATACAAAAATTTGATCAGTTTATTCAACAGTAGATAAAGGCCACATCAATACAGTCTCAATCAAGTACCACAACATGATGGCAAGTGTTTGTAATTGTTGAGTTTGGCTATATGAAAGAAGGGTTCCCATGCCACATTTTTACAAGGATGGAGGTTTGGAAAGACTTTAAGCTTATAACTTATAAAAAAAAGTCCAATGCTTTGGTTTCAAAATGCCCTAATCAATACACTTGAATTGTTTGATTCTTTTTTTCTTTCTCTTGTTTTAGAGTGTAGAAAATTGTTGGTCAAAATTTGTAAGAGTGTGGGCGTAATCTGGAGGAGGCTTGAGAGATTAGTCTATGTAATTGTAACAATTTATCATATATTGGATTTTACCTTTTAGAGGACCGTGGTTTTCAATTCTTTTGGAGTTTTCCATATATATTATTGTGTTCAATTATTTTCTCTATTATTATGGAGGGTTCTTAGGGGTATTTGAGGCCATTTTCCCAACAGCAATGTCATCTAGTTCAACTAAACCCGTAAACCAATTGAATTACTATGATCACACTTCATGAAGAAAAAAAAAACAAGAAGAATAAGAGACATCCAGTAAAATTATAATACCTGTAATTTTTTGACCATCTGACCTAATATCCTATCAAATTATGGACTAATGAGAATCTCTTATTCATTTCCAAGATTGCAAGTTTTCATTAATTGAAATAATGCCTATAAGACAATTAGGTGGAAAACACATTCCATTAGAATCCAGCAAAAGCCAGCTTTCACCACAACAATCAGATCACATAATCTAGTATTGGAAGTAACAGACGGACACTGATCTGTAACTACCAGATGCTATACAAGCTCCATCAACTTAACCTAATCACAGCTATTTGTTCAATTGGAGTCCAATAACCATGAATATCAAATGCAAAAACCTTAGTTACTTGAAATTATATGTTAATTTCAACCTACTTGAATTATTGCAAAGTTTAACAACCAACATGATCATAAAATTATATACTGATAAACGATAACAAACAGATTAAGAACGATGACAAAGAATGTGGACTGACAGTTTATCGGCTTTGGCGATCAGCTTTTCGGGATCGGCACCGGCCATGGCTGACTAGTCCCACCTTTACTGCCTTCAGCAAACCCAAATCTCCTGTTCTTGTGATGGATGACGAATTGACGATGGCACGATGCTTCCAAAATGCTTATATGCATTGGCCCACAGCCATCAAAGATTCAAAGGCCTCTTTGTCCGGTCCAATAAAAACCGTAAAAGCAGCCGGGTTGGGTCGTATTAATAATTTGAACCGGTTCATATGAGAGAAATAAAAGTGAGTTTTTGGTTTGTAAGATTATATTTTTTTAGAGTAAATTGCATGTTTGTTTCATGTGATTTGTTTTTTGTAAACATCTTTAGTCCAAAAATTAGTTTGTTAGTAAATTTGGTCTTTAATCCAAACTATTGTCTTATGGGAGAATTTCGTATATACATTCCTTAAACATTAAAATATGATATATATCCAACGTAATTTCTAAATATCGTAATTACCCTTCGTAAGCTTCCAAAATATCATATTTACCCAAAATCTATAATTTTAATTTTTTATAATTATATTAAATCATTCTTTTTATAAATTTACTATTATACCCTCTAATAATCATTTTCAAATTCTTATTTTTTGATATCTATTTCCAACTACCATAAAAAAACAAAAACAAAAACAAAACTCTACCCTAATCTAGTTTACCTCTTGAAGGACATTCCACCCTCGTCCTCCTTCCGCCTCTTCACCACTAAATACCAAAACAACAATTTTTTCGACAGTATTCATGCATTTCTGAACATGTTAATTCTTCGAATTTGGCAGAGAGTTATGGTGGTGCAGAAATTGACACCTTCGTATAATGAATCTATTTTGATTGTTCTTTTAGTGGTGGATGAAAATGTTCTTTTATCTCTCTCGCATGCGGTTCTTAACCTTCTCAACAAAGCTTTTGGATTTTGATTGTTGTCTGGGCCATAATCAATTACGACAATAATTGGCTCGTTGATGATACTCATCAGGTTTAGACCAATGCCGACGTCTTTGATGGCATCAAGTTGAGAGTCATTGAAAGGGACTGCAACGATTACGTTTTTAACAGTTAATCCAACAAAAGTGTTATCGATTTCAAGCATATTGATGCGGACCATGGAAGAGATCTCTTCCGCTGCAAATTGTTTGTTCTCTCCTTTGGAATTTACATTGAATCGTTGGCTTTTATGCAGGACCAAATGCGACATTGAATGGCCATATCTTCATGTTTTCCGGCACAGATGCTTCGTTGTATCTCCGACCAGTTAGTCCCTATGAATTTGTAATATTGTTCTCAAATTAATAAAATATAACCTAAGGTCCATAATGGAATCGAAACTAAAAATCCCAAATTAACATCGTGATAACAATATTATCCATTATTATAACTTAAATACCTAATCTCTGGATAGTAAGTTTCATTGAGATAGAAGTTAGATGCATAAGGAAATCATACGTATATCATTAAGCGAAGGAAGTGTGGGTTTTCAAAGCTTCTTCATTGAGCGGAGGAATTCGATCGGAAGCAGTTTTATTATTTCTTTGAAGCATGATCTAGATTTTCTTTATGTTTGTCGTAATCAATGACAGAGCATTTTATCCATAATTTTTTATGTTATTTTTTTCTTAAACAGATATGTCATTCGTTCATACATTGGAGTATAATCTTTGATGCCATTAAAGATTAGGTACAAGTTGGGTAGTTTATGACATCCTAATCATTTGGTGTTGAAAAGTGACAAAAAATTTGTTGTTAAATTGAGTCGAATCAAATTGCATTGCATTATAGTGTTCATCTGGATTTTGGTGGTCACAAGAAGGTGGTGGTTGGTTGTACCAGAGAAGGTTGGTGACAGTGGGAGTGGATTTGGTTCTAGAGGATGGTCAAAGGTGGAACAGAATACAAGAGATAAGAGGATTTGAAAATGATTATAAAAGGGTATAATAGTCTATTAATAAAAATAAGAATTTAAAATTGTTTTAAAATATTTTAAAATATTAATATTAAATAATTGGGCAAATATGATATTTTAATAGTTTATAAAGAATAAATATGATATTTAAAAATTAGGTTGGACAAATATGATATTTTAATGTTTAAAAATGGTATATATACGAAATTATCCCTTGTTTTATTGTATGTCCTTGTGATTGTGATTGTTATTTGTAATCACTATTTTGTTGTCATTTAGAGTTAATACCTTAGAGTATGTTTTGTACATTCTTAAATGTTTCTAAACTAAAGACGATAATAAGACAACATACTAGTTACAATATAGGAAGGTTTCCTATAAGTTGTCTTAATTAAGAATCTAGATCTACAACTCTTGCATATGACGTCCTACTTATGCAAGTCTCACATTATCAAATGTATATATGGAGAATGTCTTCCATAACCCCATCAAGGAGAAAATTGTTTGATACATAAAATGACGAGTAATTAAGGAGGTGTATCTTCTTACAAGAAACGAATAGGAATTAGGTAGATTATGGAGAAATTTGAGAACCACATTATACAAAACATATCCTAAAGGTATTGTGCGTTGGTTTGCATATGCACAACAAAAGACCACCACATATTCTGTAACACTCCAATCCAGGTATTGCCATTATAGCCCTTGAAGTTTTTAATATTTCATTTTATGTCCCTTAAGTACGCTTAGCGTACCACGAATAAATGAACGCGGAGGGTCAGCACGTACATTGGGCGTACCAAGAATACGCGGGGCGTACGTGACAGGTGTGCAAACCCTAATATTCCGGACGTGAGACCTATATAAGCATCCTTATCTCATTTGAGCTCCACCCTAACTAGCCTTTCTCACCTTCAAACGTCCCTAAAAACCCTAGAATCATTTGAGAGTGTGTTTTGAGCTTAAGGAGTGAATTTGTGGCCATTTTTGTGTACATTCAAGAAGAAGGAGTTGTTAAAGCAAGCTTGGAGTGGCTTGGGGCTTCAAGAATCTGCATCTAGTTCACCTTGAGGAGCTTCTGGAGGTATAAAGCTTTGATCTTGCCATCTTATTCATTAGATCTAGCTAGGGTTTTCTATTTTGTCCCTTTAGTTGGTTTTGGACCTCCTCTTGAGAGTTGAGCAATTCCAGAGGCTGAAAAGGTTAGATATGCGGTCCTTTGGTCTATTCATAGCATAAAAATGAAGACTTGATGGGTGTTTTGACCTCATGCATGGATTAAGACCCTTGGAAAGGTCTTAATGGGTTGTTGGGAACATATGAGACATGCAAAGGCATAAAGTTGCCAACTTTATGCCCTAGGACGTCTTAATGAGCTTAGATCTGACTATTGGACGTAAGGAAATCGAGTGTTAAGCACTTAATGGAAGAAGTGCTTAATCTGTTAGTACGTTGAGCGTAACTTAGCGTACGCAACGCGTATGGCTCAGGGACTCAGTACGCTGCGCGTACCAGGGTGGTACACTAGCCGTACGCACAACAAATGGACTTGGACTTATTGTGGGCTTGCAAGCTTTTGGGCCTTGATTAGTCATCGGGCCTGGTCATGTTTTGGATTGATAGGCCAACTTATCTGTTTTGGGCCATGGTTTCTATGGTCGGGCCTTATTGGGCCATGAGGCCATTTATGATAATTAGACATGGACTTTGGGCCCAATAGCAAAGGAAGACTTTTGGGCCATTGAGAAATGATTTGGAGTTTGGACTCTTCAATTGGATTGTGTTCAGTCCTGACCTTGAGTAATGTTATTATTGTCCAGCACGGGTGGTTATGGACTGTTAAGAAAGCAGCTTTTAGATTCAGCAGACAATGTGAGTCTTCTCACCATACCAATGGGTCTAAGGCACTAAGGCCGGCCCATTTTATGTGATGCAGATTGTTGATTGATTATGCGATATGATAGTATGACATTTACATGGAAGACCACGTAGGGGTTCCCGTGGCATTTGGTATAAGACCTTGGAGGGTTTCCATGGCATCCTAGTATATCTGCTTGTACAGTTTGCATTATGTCTTGTTTGGTAGTGAAGACCTTGTGGGGGTTCCTAAGGCAGGAAGACCTTGTGGGGGTTCCCAAGGCAGGAAGACCATGTGGGGGTTCCCATGGCAGATAAGACCACGTGGGGGTTCCCGTGGCATTAGGTGTAAGACCCTGGAGGGTTTCCATGGCTTCCTTATATGTTGTATGCATGACTTATGTGATATTTGTAGTTGTTAATAGCTAGTATGATATGTTGTATGTGGTTGTGTGTGGGTATACTCTGGGGAACTCACTAATCATTAGCTTACAGTTTGTGGATTTGTTTCAAGTACATTTGAGCCCAAAGGCAAAGGCAAGGCTTGATGGCGCGGCGTGCACTCTCACTCGGGCATTTTATTGGACACTCTGATATTTTGAAATAAAGTTGTATTTGATATAGTTTTGAAAACAATTGTAGCTGTTTTTTGTGAATGATGGAATTGTGTTTTGGACAATTAAAAATGAAATTTTTCTTTTGAAAAATTAGGTCGTTACAAGTTGGTATCAAAGCCTTGGTTTGAGGGATTCGGGCACACTCTCGGGTGTGTCAGGACTCAAACTAAGGAATGGTAAAATTGTTTTCAAAAATAAAAGTTAAAGACTTTTGAGACTGGAAAAGAGGAGAGTGCAACGCGCGTGATCGGGCCGAGCCAAGTAAGTAGTTCCCCAATGTGTTAGCCATGTTATACTGATATTTGAGCTTTGATAATCGTATGGATTTTGCTATGTGTATGCTTTTAATTAGTATTGATTAAGAATTAATTTGGAATTAATTTTGTGATCAAAAGAGACTGATTAAATTAAGGAGACTGATATTGTAATTAACTGTTAATTGCAAGATGGGTTGTGGACTCCCAATAGAAGGGATTGACGAATTTTATGGAAGCCCATAGAAGAATTCGTCCATATGGGGCCTTCTGGAAGGGTCTACTGAACTTCATAAGGATTAAGTAGTTGGATTAGGGTTTTGACTGAAACCCTAGCAGCTCAGCTATATAAGGAACCCCTATGACTCCAAATTTCGGCCACTTGATCCCAAGGAGAACCCTAGCCGATTTTTGAGTACCTTCCAACCTGTCTCATATTCTTCCAACGTTTTGGTGTTTGTGACTTATTAGAGGTATCGCATTTGAGGTACTAAGCTCTTGAAGGC